AATACCAAAATTAAACTTATTTTACCTAAACTTTATTAAGATTACTCTCGGGATTACATACAATCATTATCTACAAGACGCAGTGCGAGCAATTATAAGATAATCCTGCTACCTGCTTTCACGGCCGCAATCCAGTCGTCACCTTTTTCTGGTCAAGGATTAATAATTTGACCATCGCCGCAATCCGGTCCTGCCCATCTTTCCCTTGAGCGGACACTCTATTGCTGCTAAAGCTTTCAGAAAGTTACAATATTTTCGATTTAAACGTAAATTTTTCTGATAGAAAAATAGATCAATCGAGTTTTTAATCCGTTCAATAATTCAGTTTCAAATTTTGCGTTCACGACTTGTTGGAACAGCTCCTCTTCAGACGTTCTGAATACCTATAGTTCAACCTTAAAATAATTATGCCTCCTTAACTTTTGTGGAGGGTGTTTGCACAACTGTAAACTATGGCTGTCATCAACAATTTGAAAATTATTATTTTCACTTGTATTGTTATTTAATTTTGTGAGCAGAGTGATTTACCGACACTATCAAAATATTTGCTCCTTTAAATGAAATGCTCTTTTAAATAGTAAACAGAATAATTACACTTTGAAAAAATTTCTTTTAATGATGATCAATTATTATCATAATCTCCATGTACTGGCGGAAATGAGCGCTGCAATTTATCATACCCTTGGTTAGGTAAAATTTTGTCTTCGCCGCAGTTTTCATAAAAACCGCTGCAAATTACATGTGCTCATCATGGCCTCTGCGCACGAATAAAAAAAATAAATTTGACTATGTATGCCTCCTGTGCAAGGTTAGAAAAAAAATTTGACTAATATTAATCGACTGTATGAAAATTGGGAAATTATATCGACTATTGTCATACAAAAATTGTATTAAATTAAGAAATAATACTTCATAAAATTCATAAGAACTACATTTCTGGAAATACCAGATAATCAGATAACTTCTCTAATAGTTTTAGATGTTTTGTTCAGAGGCATTTTGTAGACTGTACGAGGGAACATTGAAAAGTACTTAGCCTATACCATATAAAACGCTACAATATTTTAAAACAAAATTTTATATATTCAGTACACTCTCCTCTAAGACTTACAGATTTAATAGAACGTTCGTAAAGTAATTCTAAACCTTAAAAAAAAATTCGTTGTCTTGGTCTGCAAAACAGTTTGCAATGGCACATATTGAAAGTGCCAAATTTGTGGAATAGAGTGTGACTACATACTCAATTCAAAACCAATTTCATCAAGTTTTTGCAGTGCAATGAACGAATTGTAAGCAGGAGCGTTGACTTGCAAAAAGAGCACACTTTTAACAAGTTTTCTTTTGTAATTAGTTAGCACTCACTATACTCACTATAACATGCTTCCGTGACCCTGTTCCAAAAAATCTAACAGAGTTATTTCATTTTTGTCCCAAAGAGCTGAAACCAGAACTTTTCCAGCCGACTTTTAAGCACGGAATTTTTTGGGTCGTGCAGAACCGGCATGCTTCCATTCTTTTGATTGCTCTTTAGTCTCTCAGTCATAGCGATGGACCCATGTTTTGGGTTTTATGTTTTTTGTTTTGCTTTCAAAAAGTTTGAAAATTCTCTTTCAAAACAGTGGCACATTTCTCCAAGATTTCTCAGACATGACGTTTTTAAAAATTTACAGTTTTGTTACCATTTAACTTGTAGCTTGAGCACTTTAATGAAATGGCCACTATGAATTGACCGCGACTTTAGAAGTATCTGAGAATGTATTTTCAGACGCAACCCAAAATACATTCTCAGATACTTCTAAAGTAGCGGTCAATTTATAGTAGCCGTTTTTTATTCACATATTATATGACCAGCCTGTATTTACAGAGTTAACAAATCTGTACCTCAGAGCAAAACAGTATTAGGTAACCACCAAATGACAAAATTTTCAGAAGAGCCTTTTTAAAACTATAAGTTTGTCTGGTGTCTGTTATATTCATAATATTCAAAAACAGGAAAAATTGGAGTTAATACTATTTTGCTCTGAGGTACAAAAATATTTTTGAATAAGGACATAACATACATAACATAAAATTTTATCTAATACTCACGATTTATACATTTGGAGTTTTAAAAACAATAATTATTTATGGCACAAGTAGTGTGTTACAGTCACTTTCAATATACAATATACAATTTTTTCAATATACAATATATAATTTTAAAGTTTGTGCAAATATTTTAACAGGTGATAGTAAAGCTCAAAAGAAATACAAATAACTAAACTTGCCTTATCTGAATGTTCATAGTTTCTCAAACATAGAGTAGAGGGTGCAACCTCCATTTTAGCGTTGGAAAAATTGTCAAAAAAATGCAATTCAAACAAAGTTTGATGTGTAAACATGGAAAAATAACTCACAAGTCACAAGCCTAAAAAAGCGAAAATCTTGGAGCATGAACATGCTATCTAACCCATTTTTTGTAAAAATATCAGTAAGCTAAAAATTAACTCACGATTGAGTGTATACTTTAGCTCATTCGTAAGTTATACGAGACCAATCACTGTAGGTAATTATTGTAAGTATTTTCGCTTAATAAATAAACATATTGTTATGAAATATTTAAGAAATAACCTTATTTGTCTAGACTAGATTTATTATTTGTAACTCGGAACTTTGTAAATTACTAAGAACAAACTACTAGTCGATATCATTAGCATAATGATTCACTTTATGTCAGTGCTCTATTGTAACGGAAAATTTTAAATTAATAATAATTTATTCACTGCAGTTATTCAAAATGCATAAACGATTTCTTCAAGTGAAGTATTAAAAATGCAGGATGTATCGTCGAATAAGTACCAAGAATTGGTTCCTCAATAATTTTCGAATTTGAAATCTTATCTCTTCTTATAAGTTGAGTATGACTTGTAACAATTTACATGAATTAATAAGTATGTATGTATGTACATACCTACATACATATACATAGAATACATTTTTCATTTTGCATTTAGAATCAAATTGAAGAGCAAGGTTCTAAAATAAAGTGTTTGTATTGGCAAGCAAATCTCCTGTTTCTTAATTATTTCAAAATGCGTGGTACTCGTATTTATTTAGTAAGGCTTCGTCGCACTTTAGAACACTATTTTCCGGGTTATTTAATTTATAATTTAGTGTGAACAGAATTTCCGCTAAATTCAGTGTTAAAAAAAGTATCTATGTTTTCAAAACAAGAAGTTAAGATCAATAAATATGTTTAGAGGGTCCTTCCCTATATTTTTGTGGGGGAAGATTAAGTATTGTGCACGTTTTCGATGCAATTCATTTAATATTCACTACCCCACGATAAACTGTTTAATACATAAACTCATATTATTATGAGGACATTTATTACGCTTTTTCACTCCCTCCATTAATTCTTGCTAATTGATTTAAAGTTTAATCAGTTAAATCTAATTACAAATCAATTTATTTTAATATTTATTGCCCGCTTCATCACAATGCCATTAGATTCGTTGAAATAATTTAGGCAGACAAATTAATGGCTTCGGTTTATGCGATTTAATCGAAAGTTTATTTCAAATTTTCAATGCGCTAGTGGTTTGTTTTTAGCATAGATAGTTTTGCAAGTCAATAGCCTTGCTAGAAGTTTGTCACAGCTTACCGTTTTTAATTTCAAACAAAAATTTCTTGTTGAGTAGGTATTAATTGGAACCTTCTAAATTAATTGAGAAAAATAGAAAAATCATCTCAGAAACTTAAAACAGCGGTTTTTCCGCTTTTTTTTCTGGTTTTTAGACATTTAATTTGTTTTTTGTTATTTATTTAAAATAAAGTCCTTTTTTGACCTACCTGTCCAGACCTGATCTGATTGACTTAATTTATTATATCGTATATAAATTTGCATAATTTATTACAAATATCTAATATGTAATAATAAATTTGTGTGTACTTATAGCGGTTTTAATTTTCGTCGTATTTATAGTAGTATAGAGACCTAAATGTTGACTCTAAATAACTTTTCGTAATAACTTTTTGTCGCATTTGCCACATAAGCACTTTACAGAAAAGTACCTATAGTTTTTTTTTAAATCAAGGCATACTTGATTTTTCAAAACTAAAATTATGTCAGAATTTTATCTTTAACCAAGCAGGGCTGAACTTCAAAACATTAAAGTTTACATCAATTTTTTTTATCTTTTGGAAGAGTCGTTTCACCTATCCGGGGCCACACTGTATAATAGTGTATCATAAAGCCGTTTTTCTAATTTGCGTTTATAATATGTTTATTAACGTCTCCAGTAGGAGTCGTTTATGGCTATTTATAAAAGCACACTGTGCTTTAATGAATTTAGGGTTATTTAGTTTTTGGATGCCGCTTTTGACTTGTCAGGTAACAAATTTTGCGTTATTGCTTCGGCAATTTCGCGAATTTCGGGCGGAGTGCAAACTAAATTCTGTTTCTCATATTTTATTTATTATTATTATGTTGTAACACTAATAACTAATAATTTGTAAATGTTATTTTTAATGACAGACGGCAGAAATGACTCAAAAAAAAACAGGTGGGCGCCGAGTGTTACCAACCGCTACCAACTAACACAAAATTCTCTAGGCGACAAAAATATATTTTTCTTAATTAAAATAAGAAATGGCATTGGTGCACTCATCCCATAGAAAACTCGCCTACGGCTCGTTTTCTAACTTGGGATTCGTGCGCCAAATCAACCCTTATAAAACTTGTTCTTTATATTAATATACTATTTGCAAATTTTGGGACATTCTATATAACCATAATATTTTTGAGTGTGAAATATGTATACTTTAGAAACCCGATAAGACCAAACTTTTCGTTGGATTTGTCAAGCGGGTACTTAAAATATTAAATAAAAAAAAATATAAATAACACTTTTAGCGTCAAGGCTAATAACTAACACTAATAATAATAGATTATTATGCTACCCACGTAGATCCGAAAAATACTGACTCGCCAATTTTATTACTTCTTTGTTTCTTTCCAGGCTCGGACCTCGACGACGACATCGAAGAGACGCAGAACTCCGACAGCCCTTGCGAAGGCCCTGGCACGAAAGCCCGTCGCCGTCGCACCGCCTTCACCAGCGAGCAACTCCTCGAGCTCGAACGCGAGTTCCACGCCAAGAAGTACCTCTCGTTGACAGAACGCAGCCAAATCGCATCCGCCCTGCGTCTCAGCGAGGTCCAAGTGAAAATCTGGTTCCAGAACCGACGGGCAAAGTGGAAACGAGTCAAAGCCGGTCTCGGCGCCGGCCCGCACCAGCCCAAGACCGGACAGCAGAAGAGCAAACTCGTCGTACCAATTCCCGTTCACGTCAACCGTTTCGCTGTCAGGAGTCAGCACCAACAGCTGGAGAGGGCCTTGGGGGACTTGGCCGGGAGAGTGTTGGCAAGTCATGCCGCCTTGAGGGCGGGTTTGGATTTGCATGGGTACCATCCGCCGCCACCGCCGCCTCACTGAGTCGTTTATATAGAGTTTATTGACGATTGTGATGCCGATAGTGGTACTTCTGGACGAAGTAGTGAAGAGATTTTCTATGGTGCATATTTTATTTATACATTCACTGTTTAAAAATTATTATAGTACACAGAATGGCTCAAAATTCGCAAAACCCCTTTGTTGCATACATACCAGGTGAATAAAAAGTATGGCACCAAACGTTCTTTGCTTAAACTATTTAATTTTTGGAAAAACTAATTGTTGTATGATAAAGTACTATAAAAATGTGATGTTTCATCAAGAATAAAATTTTTCGAAATTTTATTTTGTTTTTGAGTTCTACAAAAAGTTTAATTTTTTTAAATGGCAACTCACTATAAAACTATTTTTCTCATGAAGATTATGATTTAAAGATTACAACTTTCTACTTTATATTGAATT